ACCAAAACTATCTATAAAAATTAGACCAATAACTCTAGTCTAAATATCTTCCTTTTCTAACCACTAAGGGCAGTCATAGTCAATTAAAAACTAAAAAGAAGGCAAACAAAAGGATACGTCAGGACAGCTTCCAATAACAATTTATAAAACTGAACCAAATTTCAGCAGCATAATTACTTACAAAAACACATTTTAAAACCTGAGCAATTCTCCTATTTCAACTCATTCCTGCTGGGACCACTGAGAAAATAGAAAAGTTCTTTCTTATATTAACAAAAACCCTAACAATCAACAGTAATCAATTGAGTCATCTCTACCTTCCGTCTCCTCTGTACAACTCACACAGCTAGAGACGTAGAGAGAGAGAGAGAGAGAGGAAGGGCAGACCTCTGACAGAAACCTGTCTTCTCTTCTGATACACAGCAGAAAAAGAACAGAGTACACAAAAACAGGGTTTTAAATGAATGTCTTTTTTTCATGAAGCATAAAACCCATAAGCCCAAATAGGCTCTAGGTCAAAGAGCTTTAATTTCTTATAAATTGGATGTGTGATGCCATGGATAAGCTGCTCTCCTCAAAAGCCAAAATTCATTTTGAGGTCAGCACTGTTATCCGTACCTGATATTATATATCCTCAAGTAAACCCAATTGTTGTTAAACACCAGAAATGAGATATTATAAAATTAAGCATAAATCACAATCAACATGTTTAAAAAGCAATGCTGCCCACTCTAAATGAACATGACTCTCTCTAGTATATACTGTGTAGTGCAGTGATTTTTAAGCTGTGTTCATCAGCGCCCTTCACTGAGGTGCCTCAGTGTAAGGAGATGAGTAGGCAGAGTTCCAGGCTCCCTGCCCAGAATTCAATTAAAATCTTACTTTTATCTGTTTTATATATTAAGATTCTGTTGTTTGAACAAAGAGTTCTGCTACTGAAAAAACAAAGCTGGAAAATAAAGTTTTTAATGAACACTGGTGTTAGCACTAACCATGTAACCATTAACAGCATGAGTCCACAAAGCAAAAAACTCTGTAAGAGTTACTCACAATTTCCGAATGAAATCAAGCGTGTCTTTGTCTTTAGCAATCATGTCTGCTAAAATATGCTGCACTCCTATTTCAATATCCTGGAGTGTTGAAAGCCCTTTAGGAGAAGAGTAAGAGGGAAAAGAAAAACAAAAAGTATAAGATTGGTTTTAAATTCTATAATTAAATCACAGCAAATTAATTTGGACAAAATAAAATCTTTAATTGACAACCTTAAGACAGAAAGGTACAATAGCAGCGACTAGCTTCCCTCTGCAACAAAAACAGGTCTCCAAAAGCAATAATACAGGCCCTTTACATACTGTCTTGCCTAGCGGTTAAAAACGTATCTCTGGAGTGAGCTGCCTGGTCTAATCTGTTTCTGCCACTTAGCAAGCATGAGACCTTGGGCAAGTTACTTGACTTCACTGTACCTTCTTTTAAAGCTACTTTCCTATAAAAATGGAATAATAATAATAGTACTTCCTTCATGAAGTGTTTGCAAAAATTAAAGGTGTTATGGGGGCCAGGCACAGTGACTCACGCCTGTAATCCTAGCACTCTGGGAGGCCAAGGCGGGAGGATTGCTCAAGCTCAGGAGTTTGAGACCAGCCTGAGCAAGAGTGAGACCCCATCTCTACTAAAAACAGAAAAATTAGCCGGGTGTGGTGGCACACGCCTGTAGTCCCAGCTACTCCAGAGGCTGAGGCAGAGGGATTGCTTGAGCACAGAGAGTATGAGGTTGCTGTGAGCTAGGCTGACGCCACGGTACTCTAGCGCAGGCAACAGAGCAAGACTCTTGTTTCAAAAAAAAAAAAAAAAAAAAAGTATTACAGAAAATATGTATTAATAGAGTCATGTACCAAGGTACACTATTCCATTTGTTATAAAAATTCTCCTTTACAGGCAATTGTATTAACTTCTTACTTTTGATTATACAGCATTTATTCACATTTTCAATGATCCATTTGAATTTCACAAATCTCATAAGCACAAAACAAGAGGTATCATGCAGTCATTCAACTTCACAATTAAGATTTGTTTACAAATGGGGCATTAAGTTCTAGGTGCTTTTGGTTTGCTAATTTACAGCAGCAAGTCTTGTACATCATAGCCCCTGTGATACCAACTTATACATCCAGAGAGATCATTTGCCTTGCCTCTTTTCATTTCTATTGTCCTCATTGTTCTATTTGCATTAAAGCTTTTCCTTTTTTGCATTAAAACTTGAATTACACATGTATTATATATCATATGTGTGTTTTTCTGTGAGTATAATTCTAACAAGTAATGGATACAAAAGCCAAAGAGAACAGGAGAACAGATTTATTATGGCATAATTAATAAAAAGAAAATGCCTAACTTTGGTTTGTGTTACAATAGCTAATGTTAACTACTGAAATACTATATTTACAGTTAACCCTTGAACAACACAGGTTTGAACTGCACGGATCCAGTTGTATATGTTTTTTTTCAATAGAAGTTACACTGAGTGTGCCTGCCTCTCCTGTCTCCCTGTCCACCTCCTCTACCTCTTCCACCTCTGCCACCCCTAAGACAGCAAGACCAAGCCCTTCCCTTCTTCCTCCTCCTCAGCCTACTTAACATGAGGACAATGAGGATGAAGACCTTTATCATGACCCACTTCCACTTAATGAACAGTAAACATATTTTCTCTGTTACGATTTTAATAACATTTTCTTTTCTCTAGCTTACTTTATTGTAAGACTACAGTATAGAGTACATATAACACACAAAATATGTGTTAATTGCCTGTTTATATTATCAGTAAAGCTTCCAGTCAACAGTAGGCTATTGGTAGTTAAGATTTGGGGGAGTCAAAAGTTATACTCAGATTTTCAACTGTGTGAGAGATTGGTGCCCCTAACCCCTGCATTATGCAAAGGTCAATTATATTTTAAAGAAATTTGAAGAAAAAAATTTGGTCATTGAAACAAATAGGAATTCTATTTACAGTTTAAGAAAATTTCCCTGTGAAGGAATTTTCAGAAACAAAACTTTAAAATACCACTGCTAGGGAGGTACCTTGAGCTACCTCTAGAGCAGTGGTTCTCAATGCAAGGTAGAAATTTTTAGAGCCATTTGGGAAACTCTTTGGAATTACATACCCCCTTCTCAGTCCAACTAGGGAGAAAAACAACTGAAAAAGAAAGTCCTGTGTATTTTGAAAATGCTCCTTTCCTAATCAAAGAGAATTGATATTTTGGGATTAATACAGCTAAGGATAATAGAAGTTCCAAAAATTTAGCCCCTTAGTGAAATCAGGAGGAAATAAAGGCCACAGAACCAGAAAATCATATCCCTTGCCTTATAATGAAATTCAGCTAAAGAATCTCCAAACCTCCACACCTGTAATAAAAATTGAAAGGCCAACACTTCTTTTCAGTTTATCTGCACCTGGGCTACCTCTTCTCACATATAACAGAACAATCAGCTACTCCCCCTACTCCCCCTTGGATACAACATAGGGATCTCCTAGGACATATTTCATTTGCGGCACAATATAGCTTTTTAGTTCAGACCAAATTCTTGTTGGTCTATAGTAAGCAAGAAGTGTCTTCTATTGGGGGAAAAACTACAGTATCTGGTTTCTTAAGTATTTCTTTGAGGAACGATAGAATGATGAAACTTCTTCAGAAAAACAATAATAGAATTGAAGGTGATCATGAGTCATGTGTGTAGCGTAAAGAAGGGAAGAGAAAGGAAAAACATTCCAAACAAATTTTAAAAGGCAGTAGTTAGCTTATCTGAAATTAATTATTACTTTTCTACACTTTTGATCAAGATAAAAGAAAGAGAAGGTAAAGGAAACAGAAAGTCCTGATATACCTGCTAGTATGGTACTTTCGTAATTGTGATGAACCCTGAACTATCCATGTTATCAGAAGAATCACCAAATGTCCATGATCATGTATTCCATTTATGACAATCCAAAGAGATATGGTTATCAAAAACCTACCCAGTAGGAACTCAGTATATGTAGGAACTCAGGAGACTTTGTACCAACAGTGATGGGAAGTAAAAGGAAAGGAAATCAACCATAACAAGAAAAATAAAAATAAGAGCAGTCAATAAACTTTTGTGCATCTAACATTCTGAAAATCCTAATAAAACATACCATGACTGGGCACAGATAGTTCTCACTGTGGTTAACCTTAATGCTTAGCTATACAGTCTCAGCTGTTATTAAAATATTAAATGTTGCAAATATTTGGAAATCTAATTATAAATACACATTGAAAAATTAAATTTGAATTTTACTCATTTTAACCCATCTCTAAATTCACATAATCCTATTTTGCTTTTTCTTTTCATTATCACCCTTTTCCAAACATATTAAGATGTGTGTGTTTGAGTATGAACAGATACTTGTATTTTACAGGCATACCTACTCAATTTTTTAAATCACAAATTCACATTTGCTGGATTATTTAAAACAAAAACAGGCTGTGGTATGCTATAATTTTCTACAGTTTAGTACACACTGTGGATTTTGTTATCAGAGACTGCCCCCTACAGACATTTATATCTCCTGGCCTAAAGAATCAAGAGAAGCACAAAAGAGACTAGACTGGAAGGGAGACGAGGAATGGGGAGATAGGCTACAAAGTTGTAGTTACGAAGGTTGAATAAGACTAGAGATCTAATGTACAGCATGAGGACTACAGTTAATAATATTGTACTGTATACCAGAAATTTACCAAAACAGTAGATGTCAGGTACTCTTACCACAAAAATGAAGATAACTATGTGAGATGATGGACATGTTAATTTGCTTGATTATCATGTACAATATTGCATGACTACAGTACTCATTTCACTATGTATATGTATATCAAAGAATCATCTTGGACATGTTAAATATATACAATTTTCTAAAATATTTTTTAAAACAAATTTTTAAAAGAGCATGGATCACCAGAGCATCAATCCCCCCACTAAACACCAACAGAGAACTCCTGAAAAAAAGCCAGTCTTATCCAGAAGGTTCTCGCTCAAAGGTTCATTTTGACAATAAAACCAATGCATTTTGGCATGTATCAATTGTCATTTTCCTTGGGTTTTTCTTAGAAATATCTCTCCTTTCATCCCTCACTCTCATTCTCTCTTGTGCACACATACGCACAACAGAAAGATACACTTGGAAGTAAATTTCAGAAAAAGATAACTTTACTCTTAGGAGTGTGGGAATAGGGCTTCATTTTATACTTCATGCATGTCAGAATTGTTGAAATTCTATTTAAAGAGTAGATATGACTTTTATAATTAAATAAATTTTTAGAAATAAAAGCTTTAAAAAACAATATAGAAGAATCTTTATAACCTTGAGATATGAAGGGATTTCTTTAAAAAGAAAAAAAGCAATTATCTTAAAAGATTAATAAATTAAGTTTTTTTTTTTTTTTTGAGACAGAGTCTTGCTTTGTTGCCCAGGCTAGAGTGAGTGCCATGGCATCAGCCTAGCTCACAGCAACCTCAAACTCCTGGGCTCAAGTGATCCTCTTGCCTCAGCCTCCCAAGTAGACGGGACTACAGGCATGCGCCACCATGCCCGGCTAATTTTTTCTATATATTTTTAGTTGTCCGATTAATTTCTTTCTATTTTTAGTAGAGACGGGGTCTCACTCTTGCTCAAGCTGGTCTCGAACTCCTGACCTCGAGCGATCCTCCTACCTCAGCCTCCCAGAGTGCTAGGATTATAGGTGTGAACCACCGCGCCCAGCCAAATTAACTATAATAAAACTAAAACCTTCTTTAGTTTTCCTCCTTGGTTTCACTCATCTTAGAAACTCATTGCCTGGATGCCAAGGTCCTCTCCTCAACTCCAGCATGCTCCTCTAAAAATTATCTACACACAATGCTTCTACTTCTTAATCCACATTCAATCCTCATGTACTAAGAGATGGCATAAAGAAAATGAAAAGACAAGTTATGAACTGGGAGAAAAGATTTGCAACACATAAGTGACAAAGACTATCTAAAAAATACCTATAAATGAATAAGAAAAAGAGAAATACATAGAAAAATGGGCAAAAGACTAGAACAGGCACTTCATTAAAAAAGGAAAGCAGAGTGGCTAAGCAATAGGTATACCAAGATTTATTTTATTAGAATTATTTATTATTTATATGCTACAATATTCTTTTATATAGTCATTATCAAATGAAACAACTTTTTAACATAAGTTTTCAAATAAAAAAAAAAAAAGAAAGCAAAGACGACCTCTGTAAGTAAAGCTGGTACCTTTAACATCAGGTCTAACATAAGAGAGCAGATTGAGCACCCCTGGATTCTCAAGCAGTGTCCTGGCTGCTCCTTCTAATCCCAACTGTTTTGCTCTCTGGGCTTTAGTGCCTTTGCTCCCAGTTTTATATGGAGCAGACTAGGAAAAAAAGGCAGAAAACATATCATATGGTTCAGTTTTAAAAAGCAAAAGTTAAAACTAGGATATAAAATTAGAGGACATGCTGAGAATGCTTAAGACATCTTTTTCTCAACCCTTTCCTCCTCCTTCAGAGATGAAGTAATACCAACCAGATAATATTTACTGTATGAGGATGGTGTGTGCCTTACCTTATTCTTCATGCTTTTCTATATGCTATATTACCTATTTGTTCGGTTTCACTCATCTTAGAAACTGATTGCCTGGATGCCAAGGTCCTCTCCTCAACTCCAGTAAGCTCCTCTAAAAATTATCTACACACAAGCCTATACTTCTTAATCCACATTTGCCCCTCAACCTGCCACCACCTGGCTTCTCTTTCCATACACCTTGCTGAAAGTGGTACCATTAAAATCCACAATGATCCCCTAATTACCAAACATACATTTTTTTCAGTCCTTATTTTGCCAAATTCCTCTGCTGCATTTAGTTATTGATCATTACCTCCTAAAACTCTCTTCCCTCCTGTTCCAAGGTACCATCATCTCCTAATACTCCTCATACTTCTCTGACCATTTCTTCCATGTCTCCTTAGGCCCTCCCCTCCTCCACCCACACTTTAAAAGTTGATGTTCCCCAGTGGTCTATCCTGACCTGCTCACCCCACAAACTCTCCCTGAGTGAATTCTTCTATTCTCATGGTTTCAAATACCAACTAAAGGCTGAACACACTCACATCTAGGTCTCCAATTCGGCCCTCTCCCTTAAGCTTCACATTTGCGTTATCAACTCTCTTTCCCCACTTGACTGGGAATTCCTTGAGGATAATGATTATACATTTATTCATCTTTACAAACTCAAGTGTCTAGCACAAAAAAAAAGTACTCTCTAAATATCTATTGAATAAAGAATAAATATTTCGTTGAATTAAATAATGGTGGCAATACTTTAACTTTTTACTTCTTGGTCGTCTTTAACTACAAAAAGATCCAAATCATAATATATTCAGGTATTATATTAAAAGATAAAAAGGGTAACTTACCACATGTTCTAGTTCTTCAAAAGTTTTACAGTTTAGCAAAGTTTTTAACAAGCACTCAGACATCTTCCCCTCCTTCTTAATTTTCTGGATTGTACTATGAACCTTCTTTGCAACAGCCCTGAAAATAAAAACTTTTGTAATATACAAAACTTATACATCAAAACTTTCTTTTTGAAGCGATCTGAAACTTACAGAAAAGTTGCAGGTAAAGTAAAAGGAACTTTTTTCTTCTCTGATCCGTTTAAGTTAACATCACCCCCAAATACTTTAGGGTGCATTTCCTATAAATATGAATCTTCTCCTACATAACCACAATATAGCCACAAATATCAGGTAATTAATACTGATATATTAGTACCATCTAATCCTCAGACCTCATTCAAGTTTCACCAATTGTCCTTTATAGAGGGTTCAGATCAGCATTACGGGTTACATGTAGTTGCTGCACATCCACAGTCTTCTTCAAACTAAAACAGTATTTTAGTCTCTCCTTGATTTTCAAGGCCTTAATATGTCTGAATATTATAGGATGGTTATTTTGAAGAATGTCCCGCAGTTTGGGTTTCTCTGATGTGTCCTTACAATGAAATTCAGATGGTGCATCTGTGGCAGGAATATAGTAGAAGTGACACTGTGTTTTTCTCACTACATCCTATTAGGCGGCGAAAGATTTTGATTTGTCCTATTATTAATTAACTTTGACCATGACAATTAAGGTAGTGTCTGTGGGTTTCTCCATGACACAGATACTCTTTATTCCCCTTGTAATTAAGTATTTCATGGAGAGACAGTTTGAAACTACATAATTATCCCATTGCTCATTAAACTTTCAATTTAAAAAAAACTTTCAATTTATTCACTGATTTATTTATGCCACTATAGACTCATGATTTCTTATTTTATTCAGTGGTTATAATCCATTGCTATAGCATTTTAATGTTCAAATTGTTCCAGGTTTGGCCAGAAGTAGCCCCGTTTAGCTAGCTTCTGTGTCCTTTTGACATATCCCTGTCATTCTGTGAGCACTTCCTTATTCTGTGGCACGAGATATTCCAGGCTCATCTTCTACTTTCCCCGCCCCAGCCCTGAAATCAGAATGGTGCTTCAAAACCAAGTTATGGGTATTAGACATGCTCATTGCTACTGCAGTATCACTGCTCAAGAAAGGCACACCTAGCACCTATAACTGGTTTCTAAATACCATTCCCTATGAAAAAGAACCTAGATTTCAAGAAAAAAGCTGATTCCAGGAATCAACATATAGGGATCAACATACAAGCAGGGA